TGTTCTTCAAGGAAGCTTCTTTGCAGGTTTCAACAAACATCTGCCTCTGAGGACTAATCCGGAATCCACTACTAACTTGACATTAAAAGGTCATGAACTGCTCCAGACTGATGATCATCAGCAACCCAGAGTGGAAAACCTTCAGCTACTTCACTCATCTGAGACTCAGTGTCAGGATAAGCTCTCTTCCGTTCAATGCAGCATATTACATAAGACATTGTTAGACCAGAATAATTACATCTGACCCTTGGAGCAACTCTGCATAAGGCGGTGGGTGGGTTGTGGTCTTCTCAGTATGTCTTAAGTTTGGCTTTCAAGCTGTTTTTCATGAGAACAGAGTTTGTATATACCAGGCTCTTTCAAGTTAATGCTCTGTTTATCACTTATGGAAGAACACAAGCTGAATCAGGTCCCATTTCTGAGCTTCCTATAGGCATCTAACTGGCCACTGTGCAAAACTAAGGCGATCTCAGGGCAGGATCACATGACAGAATTGTTCACTACTTATGCTCAAATTAGATCATAGCATAAATTTGCAGTCATGAGACTCATGGCTAGTAGTGATTAATTTTACCATCCAGTGGTGTAACTGCGGTTCAATTCCCTCTCACTGGAAGGCTTCTGTTGTTGTTCTTTTAGTGGTGTTTGTGTATATATAATTTTTTTCCACAGCCGGAGTGTTGATATGTTGGTAAACTTACATCAACAGCTTTAAAGGTATTGGTAGGTGTCGCATCACTGCACGTACTGTATGGTGAGCAAAATGGCCGTGGTACCCATCTAGGTGCAGGTGCCATGTCCACTGAGTGCAATGCATTGCTTCCAGAACATCACCGCACCTACTGTTTGGTGAGCAGAATGGATGTGGCACCCATCTGGGTGCGGGTGCCATGTCTACTGAGTGCAATGCATTGCTTCCAGAGGTGCCAGTGCAACAGAGGAAAATCTACCCGTTAGGAAACAGTACCCAACATATAGATGCATTGTATATTTTAATTTTTTTAGTGAAAGTTAAGGGACTGCAGTGCCCCATAAAAATTAGGAAGCAGTACCCAACATATAGATGCATTGTTTATTTTTAAATGAAAGTTAAGGAACTGCAGTGCCCCATCAAACAAGACAGAAAATAAATTGGTACCTGGTTATAGCCGGCCATAACAATTCAAACTGAAGAAAATGATCTGGTAATGTCAAAATGCATTGGGATGCTCATCCAGGTATGCGTACCATGTGACTGTGATGCAGTACACTGGAGGTAAGGAAAGTATCATTAGAAGTGGGGGACATTTCGATGCATTACACTGGAGGTAGGGGAACATTTCTCTGGTGTAATATTGGTCTCAGTAGGGCCATTTTACAGATTTGCCAGTGGCCCAAAGGCTTCACTCCCAAGGGGGAAGAGCTAAAAGGGGAGGGTGAAGTCAAAGCAGTTAATTAGCATATGTTGCTCATGATGATGATGATAAAAGTTGCTACAATCAGTTCTTGTTACCAATAAAATGGCTTCAACTAAACACACACACAAGGTTTTTGAAAACTGAAAAATCTCTTTGCATGATCTAGTGACCATTTATAAAAAATGGTGGGCATACCCCCCATTGGGGATGCTAGAACACCCTCAAAACACGGCAGGGTTGTCTCTTGACACTCAGATAGCACAAGGAGACTTTCAGAGCAATTTTAATTTATTTTCCTGTTTAGAGACATGTGGGGAAATTTGAGGGAATGCACAAATTACCCCAGGAGTACCTAGTGCCTATCCCAATTTAAGCTGATAGCAATTTTTTGAGAAGGGCCATATTATGAATGGAACCTGTTGTGAATGAAAGAGTGGAAATGGCAACACCACTGGCTCATCCCACAGTCCACTCTGTGTCTTCTTGAGTCAATGGATGTAAACGAGGAATTATGAATGAGTGACTCTGACAGTAGCGGCGAGAAACATCTCAAAATGGCAGATGGATTGCCATGTTTGGGAAATCTTTGCTATGTTTTTTTCAACTGTAATCAGAACTAATTAGATGATGGCCCTGTCAGACACAGGTGACCTTTAATCCCGTTCAGATTAGAGGGACACTAATAATAGCTTATTATGCAGTTCAAGATTTTCATGCATTGCCGCATCTGTCATTGAGAAATATAATGAGCACAGCAAGAATGATTTCTCTTTGTACCTTTGCTTTGAATAATATCATTAAGAAATTACCATCTGTTTTCAGGCAACATTCTTATGTTTTTATGGCTGTGCAACCCTTTGAGGGTCCTTATGAGATTAGAAGAAATAAATATTTTCAATAAACAACTAATTAATAAATATTGCCGTTCACTTGACCATCCCTAAATATTTTTGAAATCCTCCCCTCTTCAACAGTTGTTGAAACCAAACAATTTGGGGGGCTTTAAAGGGGAATCAGACTTTTTTTAAAAAAAAAATTAAGGCTATCGTTGCTGTTATAGATTTCATCTTGTACAGACACCACTGTTTGTTGTTGGGATACATGGATATGCTCATCTCTGTTTGTGAGCTTCCTGTTGGCATCTGGTGACCACAATGAGAAAAGAATTCAGGCCTTCCACAGCTGTGTGTGTTTTTTCAGAATGCAGTCAGTACGAAGGGCTAAATCAAATTCTCAGACCCAGTATACATATCCAATCAGTTGCTGAATGGTTAGCCAACGTTTATGAAAATGGGTCTACTGTAGTTGCTACTGTTAACTGGATTCTGGTCAAACTCTGCACATCCCATGAAATATATACCCTGTTTCCCTGAAAATAAGACCTAACCTGAAAATAAGCTCTAGTATGATTTTTCAGGATGCTCGTAATATAAACCCTATTCCCAAAATAAGCCCCAGTTCAGTGAAACCCTGCCCTCCACCATTGTGCAGCAACCAGAAGATGACATGACTGTAAAATAAAACGTCACTGAAAATAAGCCCTAATGCATTTTTGAAGAAAAAATATAAGACCCTGTCTTATTTTCGGGGAAACACAGTATATATAATTTATATATATAAATTCCTCTGTTCCCAATATTGAATGGTCCAAAGACAGAGCTGGGAAAATCGGGACCTTCCAATTATTGTTGAACGACAACTTCCATCAGTCTGTACTAGCATGGGGTTTACACTTCAACAACTAGTGGAGAAA